TTCCTTCAATCTGGGATCGTCGTGTAGCAGCACATCACTGATTTTCGTCCAAGTTGTTTTTCAAACATGACCACCGTGACTAAAATCAAACTTGAGGGTTAAACTTCAGTTTTGACTTATATTTGTAAAACTATAGCAATTAGAGAAAGACCGTAAGGGTAAAGATAATCAGAACAAATGATTCAATCTATCCTGAAGTTGTTTGGGAAATCTGTCCAACTGTTTGAGGTTATTACCCCTGAAATGGTGATTTTTACTTCTTTATTGTATTCACTTGTTATTGTTTTAAACGATATTGGGGTGAGGTTAAGTATAACTTGCAAAAATGATCATGATGACAAGATGTTTCCGCCCTGAAAATTTGAAAAGATCCAATTAATTTTTTTATGAGTTTTTGCAACTGGCATACATTTCTTTTTTTTTACAATTTTGGCTGTTATAATGAACAGTATAGGAGCAAATGTATCTACACTGAAAATTGGCGAAAAAATTGTCAACCCCTGAAATAAAATTGTTTAACAGTTTTTGGCTGTTATCGTGAAAATGTACTATAAACATGTAAACGCAAATATGATCAGCACGACCAGATCTATTTACTCCGCAAATTGTACAAAAATATGTCATTATGTGTATGAGTTGAAACCCATGGAATATACATTTTTTCTAATGTTTCGCATTGTTTTGCTGCTATTTAAAAACTATGAGAGCTAGGCTCAAAGTATAAACCCCACAAATGATCAGCATGACAAAGTCTATCTACCCGTAAAATGTTGATTATTACTGTTTTTTTTAACAGTTTGGATTTTATCTAAAAATCCATAACAGCTAGGTTAAACATGTAATTTGCAAAAAAATATCAGCAACAGAAAGACTAATTTTAGTTTGTGCATATGAAAGTCCAAATTAGCAAACTGAATTTTAAACCTGGTTAGCGTAAAGGCAATGGTGTGCCTCTTGTTAAACAAAATGAAATCAAATATTGCAACAACGATGTGATGCAGATAGTTACATAATATCTCCTAAACCTAGTTTATGTCGCATTATAATTAAATATTAGCAATTTGAAAAGTGGCAGCGTGCTGCATTTTCTATTTTAGTACATACATACTAGTATATGTACTAAACCTTTGCTTGTAGGGACATTAATTTAGTTTTGTATCAGGTAAAGTGTTTAAAGACCATTTTTGGTTGAAATTTCAAGAAGAAATAGACCTATATTGTTTTTAGGAATTTCTCTTTATAAAGAGTCACTTAGAGTATTTCAGTTTCTATTTATTTGGATTCTAATTTTAGTGAATGTAGTTCCGTGATGATGTGATGTATATCTACACAAATGTTACTTATTACTATTTTTCTCTTACATTGAACTGTAAGTGGGACTACACAGAAAAGTAATAGCATCAGTTTTGGCATTTAAATCACAGGGTGTCGCAGGTTCTAGTTCCTGAGTCATGTTCCTTTTTTTGTAGAAGAAGGATTTGCACAAAATACCCCCCCCCCCCCCCCCCCCCAAAAAAAAAAAATCAACGTTTAAAACTGCTTATTCGTTTTTTTTTTTATCTGAGAATATACAACACTATTAACTATCCATACAAATAACTATTTCCAGTTTAAAACACGCAAAAAATGTGCATGGCTTATCCTTCACTTAAGTATATATTTGTGCTTTTTACGACCGTTTAAACACTAGTGAGTGACACTTCAATGTACTTGGATGTTTTTTTTTGTAGATGTGATATACATGCATAATTAAATGATATTACGAACATAAATGATAGGAAATGGGGAAATCACCTCCAGTTTCAAATTTTGAACGTGACCCAATACTACATGTAGCCCTATACTGACGTCAACAAAATTATCTATGGGTTTTTATGGATTTGGTATCATTTGACATGTATTGTCTTGAAAAGTAATTAGAATGTTACACTTTGCACCCACTCTTATTATAACATATACAAAAAAATAGATATAACCTTTCCGATTTTCCTTGCATAGAGTTTCTTTGAAAATATTTTTTAATCGTTTTTAATAAATTATATACCAGGTGTCTATAGATATGTCTCCTTTGTTGGACAGGTGTTTTGCTAATATAACAGATCAGAGGGAGATAGTCAAATTTCCAGAACGATATGCGTGTGACATCTGATCTCAAGATTTGTATTTTTCTAAAATATCCCCTCCCTCAGAAACAAAAAAACGTCATTATATATCTAGAAAATGATATCGAATATAACAGTTATCAAAGGTACCAGGATTATAATTTAATAGGCCAGACGCGCGTTTCCTTAACATAAGACTCATCAGTGACGCTCATATCAAAATAGTTATAAAGCCAAACAAGTACAAAGTTGATGAGCATTGAACCGAAATTCCAAAATGTTGTGCTAAATACTTGAGATGTTATAGTTATATACATCAAGCTATGAACAAAATCTTTTATATTTTGAAGACGACAACCGTGCTGTCATCTGATAGTTTCGTTTGCTTAAAAATGCAGATAAGGCACGGGTTATAGCAATGGGTTAATTGTGGGATCAGAGGACTAATCTTGTGTCTTCAGATCTACGACAAAGACAACCTGTCTCTTGCGAGTTTAGAACTATATATACATATATATCTTGATGCTTACCGTATAACCTATGTAGAGACGGTTTCACACCCTCGCAGTTTGTTTGTTTTTTAAAGTGCACTCCCGTTGATGATATCCGTATTGTGTTTGCAACTTACCAATTGCGAGAGGATAGAATAATTCTTTTCAAAATGTGGGGAGCTAACAGGTATCGTCGCAATATTCATATTTAATATTTAAAATATGAAAATAACATTTTTATAATTTTTCAAACACAGCCCCTGTGACAGGTTCAAAAACAAGATCAATAAATAAAAGAAAGTGGAAAGAAACTGAAAACGCCATGGCTAAAAAAAGAAAAATGACAAACAAGCCAACACAACGTTAACAATTTATTGAAAACAAAAGACATAGCAACACTGACCACACCAACAAACTAGGGATAGAATCATGCGCTCGATCCAGCAGGGTAAACAGTTTCAGCTCTACATGTGGCACCCATCGTTGTGCTCATACAAAATCCGATGATAAGCCTCATTATATGATGCCACAATCGAGGAAAAGGAAACGGGATTGTGGTATCATAATTGGAACATAACTGTAACATGAAATCAGTATAATTAAGTGACAGAACATCATCACTATATGGTGTCACAATGCTATAAAATTTGACAAAATGCTGTTTTTCTGTAATATAAAAATAAGGATATGTGGTATGATTGCCAATGAGACAAATATTCACAAAAGTTCAAATAAAGTGGATGTAAACAATTGCAGGCAACCGTACGGCTTTTATCAATGAGAAAAACCCACACAGTAAGGTCGGCTACAAAAGGCCCCGACATGAAAAATATGAAACAATTCAATTGAAAAAACCTATTGTAATACTGTTTTTATTTTAGTAATTTAGCTTTGTATGAATACAAACATAGGTCGATCAGTAGGGTTGCACAATGAGAGTCTATTTACGCATCAACTGTTGGTTGCTGTTTTACTTGCTATGTGCAGCTTTAGCTTTATGTGTTGTGTTTTGTGGACGGTCGTCTTCTGTTTATTTTTCATTTTGCCCGTTTTTTTTTTTTTTTTGCTTCTCTTTCATTGACCCCTTTATATTGTGGTATCTTCCGCTTCTTTTCATACATACTTGTGGTTGATTAGAAATAATCATAAAAATATGTGTCAAACGTAAACAAGAAATAAAGGCCAGTCATCAACAAGATATAATTCAATAGTAATATATAGCCACAGCTACTTTATACCTGTTATCTCTTCTACCTGTAAACATTGATGTGTGGAAATAAATGTCAACAAAATCGTAATTATACATCACAGGCTGAATATATACCTCTTCGGATATAACAAATCTGAAACCCACTTTTCTAATCACCGCTGACAAAGCTGACCCTGAATACATTTGATTTTTCGGTGTCCCTCTATGTTATATAGCTCCTAACAATTTTAATACTCTTAAACTCCCGGTTGATTAATATTAAACTGCAATCGCTCCAATCAAAGTTGACCTTCAATTAATTTAGTCCCTCTAGAACACATGGCTCCTTACGTTACTATTTATTTATGCATTCCTGGTTCGGAAATGTTTGAAATCAGGAAAAGCCCTTCTGACGCACGGATATTATAAAGTGTTATTTTCTTTTATTCTTAAATTCAACAGATATGAAATACTATCTGACACAAACAAAAAAGAAACCTGGTATTGTGTTATTTCATGTCATTGCTGTTTGTCTTAAGCAGTACTGCTCTAACTATTCTTAATTTTGTATGAATACGAAAAGCAGTATAAAATATTCTAACGAAACAATACGTATCCTCGATAGGCTTTATTTAAAACATATTTTGAAAAACATTGAGCAATAATATAATTGTAGAAAGCACTATAAAAATTCAAAATCATATGTTCATCTGTGAAAACTGATATCTGTACATTACAATAAATAATAACACTCATAAATGATGTATAAATTAATCCTAGCACTTTTCGTTATCTAAAACACTTATAACATGTTTAGCTGCACCTTGAAATATGAAATAATACTTGCTGAATATGAAATATTTACAGATGATATCTATTAATGAAATGGTATGCTCAAATTACCGACCGTGGAAGACCCTCATGGGTAGTCAAGGTCGTTTTAAAAAAAACCGTCGTCGCTCAAATTGCATAGCATATTAGTAAAAAGATTTATGACAATAGAGGTGATTTGAATCTTAAAAATTTCCAAACGTATGATCTATCATTTTGAAAATGTCTTTAACATTCAATAAATTGATTTGTCAACTTTTTTCTTCGGTCCTATAAACATTTTAAGAATTAAAGGGACATACCAATAACGCCTAATGATATATACTTATTCTAATGGTTCATAAGTGAACAAAATCAACAAAAGTTCCCTAGAATTGTGTCATCCTATTTTTTTTTTTTTTTTTTTTTTTTTAATTTATTGAAGAAATACAAAATTGTATTTTATCATGTTTATGTATGCACTGATGTTATTCATAAATAGGAAATTCTTACCTAAACTATCATGCACTATCTTGTATCATAATGATAAATAGTTTGCTCTCACAGTAATGACTTTTGTTTATACTAACAAGCAAAAGCTTTAATAAGCAGTACACTTGTATTAAATTGGTGATATACCATGTTGTTTTAATCAATACAAATGTCTCGAGCTCTTTTTATTAATGAGTTAAACCGGTTGGCCCGGGGTCATTTGGCGCAAATGACATCATTGAAAAATCCACTGTTACTGTGACGTGATATCGCAAGCATTGTGACAACTGAAATGTACTGGGAAATGTTCACCAGAACAAACAAATATTGACTAGACCTCTATCATTGCTGATGTTTCTTTTTCGTGTTGGTGCTTGTCTGAAAAAGTCATTAATTGCACTTGATTGATATTTTTCCTTTCGATTCGTTTCTTCTTTACATTGCTCCAACATCGTACACCAAACTGGGCATCACGTCCTTTCGACAGGAAGAAAAAGAACCATGTTAAAGTTATATTGTTTATGTTTATGTTTTTATCAAACTGTATCAAGTCCAAACATTTTAAAATTTCAAGTAATTGTTAGAGGAAATATTATTTGATACTAATGTTATTTTTTTAAAACACTAGTAAATTGACCAGCACGATACGATTCAGTAATCGAATTCTCCGTTCAATTTTCGATCGTGTTTAACATATATACGTAGGACGCTAATTTCAGTTTACCTTAAGAGATTTAGAAATAATCATTAATGCTGCTGACATCAAGTAAAATGAAAAACACAAACTTAATAAAGTTTATTTTTAACCCAAAGGAGCTGTAAACAATTCATCATGCATACAATTTTGACGTATTGATGTAAAGACGATTACCGCCTAAGTGATTGTACGGTTGCGTTTCGTGACACTAGCTTGGTTATAAAACGTATTTCTTATGAAAATAGGTTACTTTGTACAGATATTTTTCATATAGAATATATCTCATTGTTCTTTTATGAATTTTGTCTCGTTCGTTGGTTGTTCTTTATGAATAGCCTATTATAATAATAATGGGTTAAGAAACATGTCGTTTATCATGTTTATGTATTTTGTGCATTTTATTCATTGAAACTTTTCTGTGGTTTCTGTTTTAGCACTTTTAATTGTAACGGTAAAAGCTGTATTGGTCATTCGAAACATATATATAGTAAATGCATTGAAAACAAACAAGATTCACGGAAAAACTTTCCCACGACTCTTTTCAATAAACTGAGTCTTTGGTAGAAACGGGCTTCTGGCGTACAAAACTTTCATTCTGGTGTCTATATATATATATATGATGAGGTTTCCTCTACAAGGGTATCAACAGCCCAGTAGTCAGCACTTCTGTGTTGAAATGAATTATCATTGAAATGAGCATAATTATAAATTAACTGTTGATAAACATTTTTCGAAATACTAAGGATTTATATCCCAGGAATAGATAACCCTAGCTGTTTTTGGCAAACCGTTCGGAATTTCGGTCCTCAATGCTCTACAATTTTGTACTATATTTAGTCTTTCACATTTTTTTATTCGAGCGTCACTGATAATTCTTGTGTAGACGAAACGCGCGTCTGGTGTACAATTTTTATTCTGGTGTCTACGATGAGATTTTTTACATTGTATTTTAAGAATCGAACTGTCATAAAAATATTTCATTGAAATAAAATATTATAAAACTTACTTTTAGTAAAACATATGCAAATCGACAATATTATAGCAAATGCTGCACATCCGATTACTAGTAAAATCATTGTCAGCATGCTTGCTTCTTTTTCTAAAAATTAAAAAAAAATAATGAAATTAACGTAAACAGGACAAATTTTCATTTTAGATCTTTTAAAAAATTCCTTTTCGAAAGCCATCAAGAATCAAAACAAATAAAACTGCACTTTTAGGAGAATCAATGACAAAACGTTCCAGTAAGCATGAAAATAAAGTTAGGTGGAGACTAAGTATTCGACAAACTACAAAACACTCGTTTACGCCACGTTCACATATTCCGTTCATCTTATCCAGTTTTACATGGTGTGCAAGTGGAGAAAACGCCGCGATAACTTATAACGACTGTTTACATGCTTGGTACTTCAAAATTAAGTAGAGTATCGGAATAATAAAATCATTTTATTTAAAGCAGGTTACTTTATGCCGAAGTTTGGTGTTTGTACGATGTTTGTTACATTTTACCTTCAGATTTGCAAAGAATCATTACGAAATATGATTTACTACGGTGAAATGCAAGACAAAACAGAAGGAAAACAGCAAATCAGACAAATATAGACAAACAGAATGAAATAAACTCACCCTGACACATATCTATGTATTCGTCAAAAATGGTAACATTACGATACACAAGTGTGCAAAGTATTTGCAGTCTACCATCACAACCGACATCGTCAACAGGAAAATTAAAAATCACTTTAACATCATTATGATATGTGTACCATTTCATAACAGCAACGGTTGTCTCATTGATAAACCGACCCTGCAAAAAATGAAGAGGTATCTCTTGAATAAAGTTTCCTTAGATAAGTTTTGTTTTTGTGTACATTTTAAATATTTCACAAACTATTTAAATGCACAATTATATTGCTTCATTAAAATGAATGCTACAATAAAGTAATGCAATTGTTTCTATATCATTTGTCTGATTTATGAAAACTGTTTTTCAGTATGCAATTGAGATAAATAATAATATTAAGTATGTTTGTCCTCTCACCTTAAACAGTGCTGAACAATGCGGAACAGGGTTCACCTTATCAAGCATAATTTCTATTTCCATTTTGCCATTGTTGATATTTTTTCTATTTTTTGTTGTTTTTTCAATCGCTGGTAGAGCTAAAAGGGAAATTAACAACAAACAACATAAATGATATATCATTACAATAAAATATGTCGATGATAATATTTCACATCCGATAATAAAACAATTCAAACAATGCCAAATGCTCATTTAGTTGCTTAATGTCTTTGGGCAAATACCATATGGTTCAATAATATTGCGGTAAATCTTTGTGTCTTCTGTTTGACATTATAAATTTATGAAATTAAGATAAAACATTTTATAATGGAATTAAGACATTTTTAAAAATCTTTTTTCTATGCTATAATGTTTGATTGGATATACTTCGATTGTCTTTTTTGGTATTTCCGGCCTCTTTTTTTGCTAAATGTAAAACAAATATAGGATGTTATACAACTCTGAAAATTATATACATGTTTTAAAACCTACAAGTACTTACATATAACATATTTTGGTTCGACAGAAAGATTCTTAGTGAAATCAGAAAATCCGCAGGAACATGTGTACTGACAGTTCAAATCTGATTCACTTAAATTGTGAATTAATAACCCAAAATCTTGACTGGTATTTCGTGTTAACATTTCATATTTAGATGGATTTAGGCATTGACCATTCATACACAGCAGATCGTATTTTTGGCCTCCTGTCCAATGTCGAAGATCTGCTTGTTGCTTTGAAACATTGCTTTCGTTTTTCTCACCTATGGAGCACCACAACATTATGTCTTTTCCAAAGCTAACGGTTAATGTTGTTAGATTCCACGAAGCTGAAAGCAATTTAAATTTTGATTAAAAGATGTTTATTATAATTGTAAACAAGTCTATAAATGTATTTTTAGACTTAGAAACTGACTACATTCGGAAACTACTTTTCCCAAATATGTGATACCTTTTTTATATTTTGGAAATAAGAGGAGAAGTCACACATTGAATATCATTATACATTGCATACTATAATGAAGTATTAGGGTGTCTATAAAAAGACAATTATTATCAAAGAGATACAATTTTGACTGATGAAAACGTAAAACATTCCTACGTAACTTGGTATAGAAAATCAATTTAAATGGGAAATTTTCTAAACGTTTATTGGTGTCGTAGAGATAAAACAAAAAAGGTGCACCATGGCACAATTATCCATGGAATAATATCACAATGTGTCATACGAAAACCATTTAGCATTTACTTATCGTATTGCCTCGGCTCTACGAATGTTTAAGCGGATGTACATGTAATTCATTTGAAAAGAACAAAAATGTTTATCTGAACTTGAAAAAGAAATATTGATATTGATATGACGCTTATACTGTCGACGATCAACATTCAACAAACACACTCTTCAACGTTTGATATCTTCCAACATTTTATGTATGCGGAATATTAATGAACTTTCTTACCAGACGTAGATACTTTATCCACAACGAATACCACCATAACAAGGTGAACCAACATTCTATTCCTAGGGGATGGTCTTTTAGATAATCTAGAAATAAAACAGATTTCGTTGATTGATAAATGAATGATATTTTCAACAATAGTGTTATCAAAATGATTTGCATTGCCTTTCTTGCATTTAAATAATATATAACAGTACAATTGATACTCTATCGGTCTATCAAAATTTAAAAATACAAAAACAAAACAAGACTCTTTATCTAGATACCCTCCAATCTTTATCACGATAAAAATCTCATTCATTATTTTTTTTCAGGTGTGGGCAAACCCGTATATTTGTTTCTTTAGGTCAACATGATATGTTGCAAATCATAAAGGTAAACATATTAAAACACTATCTTGTCACTTTTATGTTGTGAACGTAAACGGCTGATCAATAGTCTTAACTTAAACTTTAAATCATTTATCGATTCTTAAAGTTAGATCAGTTAATATAAAAGGCACCAGAGCTATAAATGTATACCATTGTACATTTAGTTTTTTAAAGTATTTCAATAATGTTTTGGTCATAAATTAACTGACAAAACATTTAAATGATACCGAAACCACAACCTTAGCCAGGCGCTAATTTAATCATATACCTTCAGATAAACAATTTAATACTTTATTTACTTAGTTAAAGCTTGCGGTTTGTCATGTTATAAAATCAGTCACTACGCTGACATTGACAACGACATGTTAAATAAGACGATCTGCACCAATGTGGTGATTAAAAGAGGAGCCCATTCTTATATAACTTAACCTTTTAGTGTAAATCTGTTTTTTTTTTTTTTTTTTTTTTTTTGTTGCTCCTGTTATAGACAATAAACATGATAAACTATAAAAAGCAATTACTTGAAAATTTTACATAACAGAAGCGTCTTAAAAAGGGTTTAATAACAACAATAATGTAGTATGTGTTCCCTATTGGAATGTTGAAACAATAATAAACACAAGCGGTAAAAGCCAAAAAATAAAAAAAGCAAAAAAGCAAAAAATCTCTTGAAATTCTTGTTGAACATCGATATCAAAGTTTAAAAAAAAACAATGCGTGTTCCTTGGAGTTATCTGTATGATATTATAAAAGTTTTCGAGAGGAAAATAGACATAAACTATATAGTGAATAATAATTTCATTTAGTGGAGCTACTTAAATTTTATGATGCATTTCTCATAAGATTAAAAGTAAGTTTAAGGCTTACCTTCGAAATTATATGTTCTGCATAAAATGTACGATGAACTCTTATTAATTGAAGCTAAAAACACCTTGTCCAAGAACAGTTTATGACAATGATTTCAGCCCCCGTGTATCTTCAATATTCTATTTAAAATAAAAAAAGGATGCGAAATGAATGTAATATAATTTATTATGATTTTCTATTTTTATTCAATGAAGAACGATCGGGGTTTCACCATATCTTTACCAACCTAAATAAAGGTATTGAATCGTTCGTGTTCTAACTAGTGCAATATAATATTATATAGAGGTATTTAAAGATTCAATTTTAAATGTTCAACCTGTTTCACTCATTAATGAACTGTTAAAAGACAATGGTCGTGGCAAAGTCAAAACAATGATGTGCAAATTTTTGAGACTTGAAAGACTATTTTTTTAAACAAAACTTATCAATAATATGATAGCCTTTTGTGCTGTCCTCAAAAGTAATAGTTATTGTTGCAATTGATATGTTATCAGTCTATCATAATTACAAAACAAAAACAGCCCCATATCATGATGATCTTTAATCTTTTCACAATAACAATCTCATTCATATTTGACCTAAGTTATGGTCACACCCGTGTATTTGTTACTATAACCTTGAATCAATTTTAAAACAAAAAAAAAGAAACAAAAAGTGAACATATCTATCTTGTCTGTGACTTAAAGCGATAGTAAAGTATTATCAATTATCTACCTATAACCATAAACGTATTCAAAATATTATATCAATTCATTTAAGTGGGTATGAGAGCTTTAAATTTCTACTTGCTGTAGGATATTTATGGATATAGATTTTTATTTGGTTATTAGATGTCTTGTTTGATTCAATTCTGTCTTACAAAAATATGACATTCAACTGGTACCCATGCCATAACTAGGTGCTAATTTAACAAAATAGACAATGATTGATGTTACTACTGTAAAATAACTTGTTAAATGTTGCGACTTGTTCATGTATCAAATAATGACCTACACTCGAATATGTTAGCTAAAATATGCAAAATAAAATAATGTTATTTCTAACGTTTTATACTATAAGTTAATTCCCGTTATCAACTGTATTATTCTTGTGATTGGTTAATTATGTAACAAGTATTATGCTTTTAAATACTAAGTAATACATTACCACAGAACATATACCAAATGCACCCTCCGTCTTTATCTAGCAATACATTATACTAATGAGGATGTTAGGTATGTTTACAAAATATGAAACTTTTCACAACTTTTAGCACAATGACTAATAGGAAATTTACAACTTCTCTATATAAAGGCTCACGCATAATTCACCGACCTATCAACAATCAGAATGTATTTTCTTATCGCATGAATGTCATTAGATAACATTTTTATCATGCATCAATGCATTTATTTTCTAATATTTAAACATCAAAATACTATACTACGGAATAGTATACAAGACTTACCTACTGAATATGCGATTGTGATACCGTATAACGTTTTTTTTTTTTCGCGTCGGCTTTTTAGCGTGATTTGATGATAAAATGGACAGGTTAATTTTCACTTCGTTTAATTTCCGCTGATTGCGAAAAAAATACTGTAGCTTATAATAAAAGTTGTAAAAACATGAATTTGATTGACTGACAATTGCTCCAGACAATCAAATACGAGTATTACAAACTATAATACACTTAATAGACCTCTTTCGAGTTCATTACATTTCCGTCAAAATCTTTGGTTTTAGTGAACATCATTCGTGCGTTGAAGGGCATCGTCTATTCCGAGAACATTCTTGGAAAGTAAATTATGTACATCGCGTTATGGTAAAAACTGAAGGTAAGGATCATTTTCGTGATGTATAAAAGAGCATTTTTAAAGCATATGCATGCAAATTTCTGGGGAAATGAGACTTATCTTTATTCTGTTTTTACATGTTATGGCAAATGTTAAGGTCTCTACAATAATCAAAAGATCGTCGCTAGTTAACCTTATTGAGAGTGTCCCATATTGACGTGATGTCAAACGGAATGGCATGTAAATGATTGAAAACAAAATTTTACGACAAAAGAGATGATTTCAGCTTCCCAATTGTGAACTTTCCATTTCTATGTAGCAACATTCCAGCAGCGCCTGCATACGGAGTATATATCTCCCAATTGATACGATATTCCCGGGCTTATATTTCCTATCATGATTTCCTTGATAGATGATTGCTGCTCACAAGGAAGCTATTAAACCAAGAGTTCCAAATGGTGAAGTTGAGATCATCCCTTCGTAAATTTTACGGACGCCATCACGAGTTGGTTGACCGTTATGGAATAACCGTTTCACAGATGATATCGGATATGTTCCTTATGTCGTCACTACAATACCGTTCCCTTTTCACGAATGTGACCTACCGAATTAGACTATTTACATTATTTGTAATAACATAAGCAACACGACGGTTGCATCATGTGGAGCAGGATCTGCTTACCCTTCCGGAGCACCTGAGATCACCCCCTGTTTTTGGTGGGGTTCGTGTTGCTTAGTCTTTAGTTTTCTATGTTGTGTCATCTGTACTATTGTTTGTCTCTTTGTCTTTTTATTTTTGGCCATGGCGTTGTCAGTTTGTTTTCGATCTGTGAGTTTGACTGTCCCTCTGGTATCTTTCGTCCCTCTTTTAGTTCTCATGAAAACAGAGATCTAAATTCAATATGAACATTCTTGTGATCTGTCGTCAACACAAACAACTGATTTTACAAATAATGTTATTATATTTTGAGATGTTTAAATAGAAATTAATCCTTGAATATGCAGGGGAATTTACGCGGGGACAATTTTTTGCGTTTCTTTAGCTCCCGCGAACAAAGCGAAAATTAAATACACGGAGAAAAAAAAAACGATATACGGTATTTGATAATTTTTGTAGACAAGTATTCCGAGATTTTCGTTCTGAAAAAAATACACTAAATCAAATCATCTTTTTTTTTTGCCAGAGATTGGATCAAAATCCAAAACCGTGTTTATATTATCGCTGCAACGCGAGACCTTGCTGGTTTATGTTTGATTATCTATACATAGTTTTGGCTGCAACCTCTGATTCGTACCTAATACTCCTTGATCTACTGTTTGATCGAAATTTGTTTTTGCTGCCAAAATCATATTAGCTTGATTAGTATATTATCAAGCATTAACAAGTACATTTTTTGCAACCTGACACGGTCATGACTGTACGATTTTTTTTGTCGTTTATACACCTTTTATGTAACGCTGTTACATATAGAGACAAATTTAATTCACGGGAAATAATGTTGCACCTTGTATTTCAAAATAAAATTAATGTTTTTAAAACAAAATTCGGGCGACGGAATTATGAAATAATACCTAAAATTATATCTATATTTTTCGCATATTTTACGTACTTTGTATACATTTTAGGAATATATCTCCCTCAAGCAAAGCTCTGATTACCTGTCCTACTTTGGCTATACTTTGTCCTTAATGGTTTTATTAGCTCTTCAATTTTTAAATAACGTTTAGATTTTTTTTTGATTAACTTGGCACTGAGCATTAATGAATAGACATTTTTTGTCGAAATTGGCATCTGGTGTAGTAAAATTGGTACCATTTATGTTATAAGAGACTTATTTCAGTTTTTTGCATGGACTGAGCATTAATGAATAGACACTTATTGTCGAAATTGGCATCTGGTGTAGAAAAATTGGTACCATTTATGTTATAAGAGACTTGTTTCACTTTTTTTCATGGACTGTATTTCTACAACTATAAATGATACATATATGATGTGTTGATGTTCAGGTAAAGTTGAACGTGTTCAAATTTCATATAAAATCTCATATACTTTTCCTTTAAATGAGTCTGTTTTACGGACGGATTTCGTCTGAAGTCATCGTAAATTAAAACAAAAAGTGCAAAAAACAGTTGTCAGGTTGGTTATGTCAATATGGCAGGTAGGTTTTTCTTGATCTGCGTTATATTTTATTTTGCATCATTCATATTTTACTAAATTTCTAAAAATCAATAACGATAAATACCAAGATTTGGATTCAAAGTTTGGCAGGACTTACAAGAAGACATGTGAAGCAAGATCTGCTTACCCTTCCCTTACCCTGAGATCAGCCCGTTTTTTTTTTTGTGATGTTCATGTTGCTCAGTCTTTAGTTTTCTTTGTTGTGCTTTGTGTACTGTGCCTGTTCGTCGTTTTTCGTTTTTTTTTTTGCCATGGCATTGTCAGTTTGTTTATGACTTGTGATTTTGGATGTCTCTTTTGTGTCTTTTGTTTCTTTGTTTTTTACAAACCTGATAACACATCCTCATTTTTTCAGTCCATAAATTTAGAAACCATCAGGTAAACTGATCGATTTTTTTAATACACTTTTTCTAAAAGATTATCGATTAAAACCTGTACTACGATCTGTGAATATTGTTTTATTACATATTTATTGGTATTAACATAGACTTGTTTCCTCATGATAATGATCAATTAAAATATTACTAAATATGTACCTACATCCTATCGATATATATTCTTTGGTATTGCACAATATCAAGATTTTCGCATACTTTTTATGACTATTTACACTAAATCTATCACACATTTGTATTGCTTAATACTTTGGTCGATGAAACATAATTTATTTATTAGTTGTTATTGACCTTGAACTAGCTGACAGTAACATGTAATATAAAAAGCCAGATTAACAGTGCACAATTTTTACCCATCGAAATGCAGACTGTAGGTTTCAATATCAATCCACCGGACTCAACAAGTATGGTGTAGACCATTTAAATTATATCTTTTGCGTTATATTTTGTTTTTGAAATCAGTGCAGTTCTTCACAAAGTACGGTTTTTCATACACAAAACAAGACATGTGTTTCTGCGATTCCAAATTTTGTAGAAAAACTGTTTGATGACACGAAGTATTTAATCTTTTAATTTGGCATGGGGTATATTAATGTAAAGAATAGAAAAATCAAAAGATATTGTTGTTTAAATGAAAATATTGTAAACGGACATTTTGCAGTGAATCTTAGAAGTTTTAAGAATTCTAATCTAATTGACACCGCTGGTTAAATATACCTTATGATAATATTTCTGAAGACCACCTTTTACTCATAAAGAATAGTGATAGGAACTTCAGAAAAATGTGTAGTCGACTATATCCAGCTTTATATAATTGTTCTTTATCAATCAATATTAGTAAAGTTTAGTAATCCGTTATAAAGACGGGAGATTTTCATTACCCTATTTATGTAAATATCATTGGAGAGAAAGACGAATTTGCGTTTTTCTAAACTTTCCTCTTTCGTAAATAATGTAAAAGTAAATGTGGGATTTACATGTTTTGCTCGAATTCTCTAGTTAGACATTCCACTTAAATATTTTACACATTTGTATACACCCGCGGCTTTTAATGCTTTATGTTTGAGTATTCCTGATGAAGGTTAATCCAGAAAATCCCTTAAGACACACGATAATAACAAAGTGTAAATTTCATTTGGTCATTTATCCGGGTAAACTGTTTTACCCTTGATTCGAGTGTCATTGATGAATCTCATGTAGATGAAACGCCCGTCTGGCTTTCAAAATAATCAGCTTGGATTATTGATATCGGTGATCAGATTTACAACTACTGATTCGAAATCCTTGCTATTTGTCATTTTATCTAATAGGGGGATATAGTCAGCACCTTTGTTTTGACATGAAATATCGCTAATTTGTTCATTTCATTTTTCTGTTAATTTTTCCTTGAAATTTGCTTTTACAGTGGATTCTAATTCAAATAGTTGATATTCGTTCTTTCTTTAAACAATGGTGTTTTTTTTTAATTTCATAATGTCCGTCGACATATATTGTGTATATTGCCATAGTGTATACACGTGCAATTTTTTCTCTCCACTTGTTGTATCAGAGGTATCAGAGATATCTTTACTCTTTAATGTAAATTCACACTGATTGAACTTCATATTATTTACCAACTTCAATACATGATAACATGATACCGTGATAGTTCAATGACTTGTTTATTCATACACCACGTGTTTGTAATATTAAACCCTATAAGTGCAGACGTTTTTTTGTTGTTACTAAACCATAGCGATGTTATCAACTGCACAACGTAATGAACTAGATACTTTAATGCGACAAAAACTTAACGAGCCGTGGATCTTCTGGTGTCATTAAGGAGATAATTTAAATTGACCAGGAGTACATATATTTTTTTTAAGTAAAATAGATTATATATATATGTATAACACATGTCT